AACAGGAGCATCTTTTGTCCTACTTGGTGGGCTCCTGTATGGGGACTGGTCACCAGAAAGATAAGCATGATTAGAAGCCTGGAAGTTTCAGCCTCACCCCTTATACTCTGGGAAGGGGACAAGGGCTAGAGATTGAGTTAATGATTATCCCTACATGATGAGACCTCCATAAAAATCCCTAAAGTGTGGGGTTCAGAGAGCTTCCAGGTTGCTGAACACAGCAAGGTAGTGGAAGGGTGGCAGCACCCAAGAGAAGGGAAGTGCTGCACTCCTTCCCCATATCTTGTCTTATGTACCTCTTCCATCTGGTTGCTCCTAAGTTTTATCTTTTTATAATAAACCAGTAATCTAGTTAGTAAACTGTTTTCCTCAGTTCTGTGAGCTGTTCTAGCAAATTACTGAATCTCTAAGAGGGGGTCATGAGACCCTCCAATTTATAGCTGTCAGTCAGAAACACAGGTGACAACCTGGACTGCAATTGGTATCTGAAGTGGGGGCATTTTTGTGGGACTGAGCCCTTAACTTGTGGGATCTGATGCTAACTCCAGGTAAACAGTATCAGAATTAGAGTGAATTGTAGGACACCCAGTCAGTGTCTATTGGAAAACTGAACTGAATTGCTGTGGAAGAAAATCCCCACACATCTGGTGTCAGAAGTGAAGTAATATTGAGAGTAGTGGTAGAATGTTGAGAGAAGAAAGAGTTCTTTTTTTTTTCTTTGACTCCCCCAACTGGATTTTTAACTCAAACCATCTTTTAACTGCAGTACCTGGAAGGATTTCTGGCCTAGGGTAGGTAAGGTAAGGTAAGCTAAATGTTTACTGAATGAATACATTTTCTCATATACATGATACTGTAATTGGTGGCGAGGTTCCACAAACACTTGTTTAATAGCTAATATGTCTAAAACAAGTAGCATTTCAGCACCCTGAAGGTAAAGGAGTGGTCCTTACTTGTATATCTCATGTTCATTAAACATATTTAACTAGTTAATTGAACAAGAGAATAAATCTTTTTCAAGAAATCTGTTTAAATAGCTTTTGTTACTTAGTTTGTAAATCTAAGAGACATAAATATGTTTTTATACAAATGTGTTCTTAGCTATTCAAATTCTAATCTGGAAGTCAAATAGCCATTGTCACCACAGTCAAATTACATGACCTCAAACACTATTATCAAGGCATCTACGTTTACAAGAAAGAAAAAAAAAATCAAATTCCTAATCCTGGCATTTAGGATCTCTACAATTAAACCCCAACTACCTTACATAGCACTCTTCTTCATGCATGCTATATTTCAGCTAAAATGAACTCTTCCCTTGTCTCTGGGGTCTACAGTTACCTCCCTTTATATCTTGACTTTTATTGTCTTGTCTGCTTTACACATATATATAGTTATATATCTATCTTCTCTCCCCTTATTTAACAGTAAGGGCGAGTTCTATATAAAATTCAACATTTTCCAAAGTATGCTCCATAGAATTCACAAAATTAACAGCAGAAAGTAAAACAGGTTCATGGTCAAAAAAGTTTGGGAAATGAACTTCTTAGAATATTTAACATACTAAGATATATTGTAAATCTCTAATGAAACAAAGCATGCCCATACCCAAAACTTCCTTGGGCTCTGAACCATTTGGGTTTTTTGCAGCACATCTCATAGGATTAATATGTATACAGCACACCCTTTGAGACATGCAGCCTCATTAACTTAGTAGATACTCAACAAATATTTGTTGAATGAATGGGTAACGGACCCTACTTAACAAAGAACTTTCCCATAAAGGTAGCTTGCCCAAGCAGAAGAATAGCCACTGTATCCAGAAGAATGACAGGAGAGAAAAACAGCAAGTGAGAAGGGAGTACCATGTTCTCAGTAGTGCAGTGAAAAGAGAGGAATACTTATGACAACAGAGAAAAAATTTACTATCCCCGCCACTTTTTATATAGAGGACATAATCCAAACCACATAGGAATTCCTGTTTAGAATGTCCAACCTGAGGTGATCATTTAGAAACACTGCAAACAGAACTTTTAAATCATTTCTGTCAACTGAGGAAATATCCTGTAGTTTGATTTTTTTGTATGAAGGTGTTTATGTTAAAAAGGAAGTCTCACAGGACCAATAAGAAGATTTTAAAAGAAATAGGATTGACACTTATGACATTTCATGGATTCAAAACATAATTTTGTATTGATTTAACTTGTTTTTCAATGTGAAAAAATTAAAACACAATTCAGTTTATTGGTGCATTAAAGCCAGGATGCAAAAACTAAATATCCTTGACTACATCCTGACCTCTGTTTTCCACAGTTCTCCAGCTGTGACTAAGAAAGGGAAGCAAGAGAAAAAGCACTCCCTGACTTTCCTACAACCTAGGTCCTAAGGCAAAAGCAACAGGAAATGGCGGTGACAAACGAAGTTTGGTTTCTTTTTTTCCTTCTCCCTCTAAAGCAAAGAGACCAACTTTTCACTTAGGGATGAAAACTTATTCAAGAGTAGAGTCCACTGTAGTGATGAAAAGATAAATACACTTCTTAATCATGACTATTTACCTTTAATTGTAACTATTAAGGTAATATGCTTTTTTTTTTAAATTAATTGATTTATTTATTTATTTTTGGCTGCCTTGGGTCTCCGTTGCTGCGCGCGGGCTTTCTCTAGCTGCGGCGAGCGGGGGCTACTCTTCGTTGCAGTGCAAGGGCTTCTCACTGCGGTGGTTTCTCTTGTTGCGGAGCACAGGCTCCAGATGTGCAGGCTCAGTAGTTGTGGCGCACGGGCTTAGTTGTTCCACAGCATGTGGGATCTTCCTGGACCAGGGCTTGAACCCGTGTCCCCTGCATTGGCAGGCAGATTCTCAACCACTGCACCACCAGGGAAATCCCTAAGGTAATATGCTTTTAATTTTGATGAAACAACAAACTACATATGGTCAGGAAAGAGAAAGTCACATGAGTTAAGATCCATAAGCATGTTCAAGGTCATTCTATGAACACTGTGGACACAGGACTAGTCTGTCTCTATCATCACTGGTAAGTGAATATTACCTGCTATCATAACTGGAGTCACTGAGTTAACTTAAACCCTAATTTAGTTTAACTACTTTACTAAATGGCAAGGCCCTAGAAAGCTAAATATACTACAGATATTTCTCTACCTCCCCTCCTTCCCCCACGGTGGGGTCATGGGGAACAGAAATCAAATATATTTTCAAGGAAATATACGTGAACTCATGGGATCAAACATTCAAAGAAAAAAAAGACAACTGAGAATGTCAAGCAGGATCCATAAGCCCAAAGGTTAATGCCTACTGAACTGTATGACAAAATAAGAGTTTTCTATTAATAGCTGGCTGGTCTCATATTTCATTATATTAAAGGCTTCAAGTTCATAAATTGTTTTCTACCTTTACAAAAATGTGAAAATAAAACAAGGAACTACAGAACTACTTAAATTCTTGCTCAGGAACACACAGTAAAAGCTTGTAGCAAAAAGAACGTCTCCCTGCTCCTGTGTCAATCAATAAACAGATGGCACAATTTTGGAGTTAGAGAAATTAATGTAAAATATATCCCTACACTTAAATCTGAGGAAATGTAATTAATATTTCCCAATTCTTTCTTACAATTATATTCCTTCACTCATAAATTACTATTTTATTACAACTTATTTTAAAAATGGCATACACTATCCCTCAATAAATGCATTATCTCTCCAAAAGCTGACAGAAACCCAAAATATAGTTAGCTAACAAATGAAAAGTTCCCAGTTGTTATAGAAACTGTGGCATTTAATTTTTTTTTTTTTGGCATTTAAATTTTAAGCCAAAAAAACCCAAACAAAACCTGCTGAATCTCACGCAGAAAAAAGGATCCAATTTTCACTTATGGAGAAATTATCTATTGCCAACTGCAGTCTTCTTAATTATTTCTTACACTTTTATTATTCAATATGAAACACAAGCACACATCAAAAAGGTTCTTCCCTTCCTTCACATCTCAGTTTTCATTTCTGTCACAAAAGAAGATCCCCTACACGTTGTTAGGTGGTCTAATTAGAATTTTCCTATTCTATTATCTCAAGCATCACAGCTTCTCACACTGGATTCCCCTAAACTGAATTTTAAGTTTTAGAGACTCAAAACGGTCCAAGAAACACATTAGAATCTCACTCTCACGCGTTGAGGATTCTTTTTTTTTTTTTACATCTTTATTGGAGTGTAATTGCTTTACAACAGCGTGTTAGTTGCTGCTGTATAACAAAGTAAATCAGCTATACATCCCCATATCCCCTCCCTCTTGCGTCTCCCTCCCACCCTCCCTATCCCACCCCTCTAGGTGGTCACAAAGCACCGAGCTGAGGGGGGTTATAATACACTTCAATTCCTCAAGACCCGAACACAAATGTTAATTTTAGTTTTGACTTCTTTCAGTCGGAAGGGCTTAGTAGGCCTTTATCGTCGTAAAAAATACTACAGCCTTTACAAATGGAAGGGTAAACTGGTAGGCAAGTGAGCGCCGCTTCCAACACTGGCTAACGGAGTCATTACTCAACCACCAGAAGCGCCCAGTCGTCCCAATCTCAAGGAGGGGGCCCTAGAATATCACGCGGGGATCCAGGCGACAAGACGGGGCTCGCCAGACCTGGGTCAGGCTCCTCTTTCCGCGCCCTAAGTCAGCCCTTCCCACTCTCATCCCGAGCTCATCTTCCAACGCCCAAACCCCGAGGCTCCCTTCCAGCCGTGCGGACAAAACCAACGCTCCTCCGCTGGGACTCCGGGCTTGCTCCCCTGCCCACCTCCCCACCCCGGTCCCCAAGCTACCCCTCCCCCCTTTCACGCTCCGCCCGCGCCGACACGGGAGCCACCACCCCACCCCTACCCCTTCTCACCTTCCTTCCCCAGGGCTGCTCCCGCAGCCGCGAACGCCCGCTCCTCTGCCCGCCCACCACGCTGCTCGCACCCCGGGCCCGCCACTCCCTGAAGAGCTGCAGGGACCCACCTCGAAGAGCTCGGCCGTCGTGGCCATCCCGGCCGGCTGAGAGGCTCGCCTCGTACTGGATGCCGTCTCGTCTTCACATGCTGCGCCTCAGCGGCGCCGCGCACAGGTCTCTGCTCGGCTCGCCAGCTCCGGCTCCCGGCCGCCGCGGGCCGCCCCGCTCCCCGCAGAGCCCAGGCGGGGCGGGAAAGCGGCCATGAAGCGAAGCCGCAGACGCCTGTCAGCTGCCTCCCGGCGCCGCCCGCGCCGCTCCCATTGTCACCGCCTCGTACGCCGGAAGTGGAGCTGCGCGCGCCCGGGTGGCTGTTGGGAGGGGCCGGCGAGGGGGAGAGCAGCAGGCGAACCGCGAAGAGGCTCCCCGCGCGGGCGAGTGAGGCATCATGATCCTTGCGGGCTACCGTCCCGGAAGTGGACTTGAGAGGAAGAAAGTAGCAGGGTTGGTGGGGATAAATAGATTTCCGGAGGTTTTAAAGGAGGATTCACAGAACTTATTGTGGCGTGTGTTGTCCAGCGCGGATTCAGAGGTTTTAGTGAGTTCACCTGAAGGAGTTAGCTTCTCTGCTGAGCCCGACCTGTCTGTGGTGGGGCAGAAGGTGGCTCTGTATGCGTGAGCCTCGGGTCTTCTGGTAAAAGAAAACGCCTGAGAAAGCCTGTCTGCGCTCTTCTTCGGTGGCCACCTTAGAGAAGAGCTGATGCCTTAGTGGCTTATCATGGCCCAGCGGGCAGTGTGGCTCATAAGCCACGAACCGGGAAGTCCACTTTGTGGCACCGTCAGATTCTCCAGGTAAACGCAAATCTAAATCCTCAGGATCGGAGAGATGGATGGTGTACCGTAGTTTTGTGATGCTGTGTATTCCTGGTCCGACACCTGGGCAAGTTACTTAACATTGTTTCATCTGTTAAGCGGAGATTGTAATAATACTACCTCATAGTGTTGTGAGAATTAAATGAGTTGATGCCTGGCACATTTTAAGTATTATGTATTTTCTTAATATTACTGTATCGTAACTCCACCTACGTAAGATTGATGTAGAGATGACGAAAGGAAAGGAAACTTCCTGAGCAATAAACATGTATCACATTTTTCTACTTTAATAAAAATCATTCAAGGACATTTTAACTCATTTTTATGGAAAGTTCTTGCTGAGCTCTATCAGGCTGTTACTTTCAGCTTATAATTATTTTTCATTCCCAGAAATTCTCAGATAGTTTACTTTAAAGTTCCTAATTGTTGAAGAAAATTGAAAAAGTACAAAAAATTAAATTGAATTCACTTTTTTAAAATGGTGTGAGCTGATCTGGTTCCACTTTTAGAATTTGCCACGTTTTATCAAACTAGCTCTGTGAAGAGAATATACAATAACTCACTGTAAAATATGGGTGGCAATTGAGTGATCTGTTTCACCTTTTGTTCTCAGTGGTGGACAGTTCTTTCTTGCAAACATTCATTCTTCCCTGAGAAAAGCTCTATAGTGAAGTAGCTAGTACTGAATCCAGATTGAGGCTGACAAAGATGAGTGTAATTTTAAGGAAAAGTGGTAGGCAATGTGGATATGAAAAATTCCCTCTTTCCTACATTAACAATTTTTGTTGCTGAAGGCATCGAGCCTTAGGAGTTTACCATTTTCTCTGGGATACCTGGCTTACATTTGTTGTTCTTGTTGTTGTACCTCAGGAGGTTAATAATAATCTTCAATATGGTTCATCAGCCTTATTGGTACATCCATCCTAGGTACTCCTGCTTTACTTATATATTCCCTTTGGTATCTTTATCCTTTTGTTTGTGTGTTTGTGTATGTATTTTTCAAATTATACAATTAAGTGAGCTATAGATGTCATTCCCTTTTCTTTCGCTTGTCAGATTTCTCAGCACTATTTTTAGGAAACATCCAGGTTACTTTGTGTTCATCTAGGGCAGCACTGTCCAGTAGAATTTTCTTCAATGATGGAAATGGGAGATGTTCTAAATCTATACTGTCTACTATTGCCGCTACTGGCCACATGTAGTTGTTGAGTTTTTGAAGTGTGGTTATTGTCACTGAGGAACTCAGTTTTTAATTGTGTTTCATTTTAAGTTTAAATAGCCATGTATGGCTAGCAGCTACTATACTGGATAGCACAGATCTAGGCCATTGCATCTACCTGCTCTGTAGTACTCCATGGTTTACATCTGTCACATTTTACATCTCCGCTTCCCCTGGTGATGATCTCCCAGATTGCCCCCGACTCAGCTATCAAAACGGTGCTGCAGTAGATAACCTCAGACAGTTACATGGGGGTATATCTATACTGATTTTGACTAAATATTACCAAATAATTAGCTTCTCAGAATACTTTGACCAGTCTACACTCTCATCAGCAGTATCTCTATTCTTTCCTAACACTCCACTTTTTGCCAGTACTGGTGTAAAGAATATCTTACTTTCGTTTGCATTTCTCTGTGTAGCAATGGCCTTTGGGTTTCCTCTTCTGTGAATTGCCTGTATATATCCATTGTCTGTTTTTTTCTTCAAGAGTTGCTGACTTTTTCCTGTTAACTTGCGGGAGTTCATTGCGTAATCTTGATATTAGTCCTAAGTCATTTTTAGCTATTATAGATATTTTATCTTAACTTATTGTCATTGTCAATTAACTTTTCATTACCCTTGGTTAAACAGAAATCCCTAGTTTTGTTGCAGTCAAAGTAGTTAGCCCTTTGGGGGAATTTGTTGAAGTCTTTTCCTACCTTTATTTCCCAAAGTTATCTTACTACATTATTTCCTCTTGACTTTATCATTTTCTCTATTATATTTAGGCCTTTAATCTGTCTGTAGTCCATCTCGATGTAGTGTTAAGTAGTATTGTCATTTTGTTTTTCTCTGTGCTGTGGGGCAGTTTTCCTGACATCATCTTCCAAACAGTATGTATTTTCTTCATTGATTTCTGGGGCTGTTGATAGTAGTTTATTATGTCTCCCATATAAACATTGGTCTGTCTCAGTTCTATTACTTTGTTCTTTGCCAGTACCATAGTGTATTTATATCTGTGGCTTTGTAGCTTATTTTAATATCTCATAGAGGTAAGATTTTTGTACTATGTACAATAATTAGTTTCTTGAAGCAGTTGTGCTTGTTTTCAGAGTTCTTTCCCACTGTGCTCAGAATATTTCAAAAGAAAAATTCTTTTTGTTTGGGTGGACTGTTCAACATCTCTATGAAGACAGCAACTTGGATTCAGATAATTCATCTGCCACTTATTTATCCTGTATCATTGAACGAATTAGTTAGGTTTTATTTTTTTTTCTGTTTTCTGACCTCCTGGGGCCAGAGTTAGAGCTAAACAGATATGCACTGGCCTGTTATCCACATATTTGCCAAAGGATAATGGCCACCACTTAAGAGTTAAGAATGCAAATGATCTTTCCTCTATCTAGCTACTTTTTCCCCACAACAGAACTTGATTTAGATTCTGGTTTAGAGATTTGCTGTCTGGATAGATAGTAACAGTACCAGCTTAAGTCTAGCTTAGGTTGGTATTGTTCCCTATAGTTGCAGGGCCATTTAAAGTTCAAGTCCTGTTTTAGAAAAGGCCTAGAATAACTCTGAAATGACAGGTTGAGTCATCCGGCAAAGTATTTATTGAACATATATTGAGACATTCTATAAAGTCCCAGACAAACTTATTTTTACAATTTCAATCATGAAATTCTTACACTTAAGAGAACTTGAATTATCCTCTAGAGGATAATAGTCTGGACTAGAATTCAGTCCAGAGTTTTTAACTATCCTTATCCAAAGACTAAGAGAAAGAAGTGGCATTCACCTGCTAGGCCATTACTGGAGGGCTAGCTAATTCTTCCCTTTCCTCAATCAAGAAAATGCATCAGAATGTAAATGAGTGAGGTTCACTAATACATGGATAACTTTGAATACATTCTTATTTTTTCTTTTTTAGAATTATTAGTAAACACCAATATTTTATTAGTAGTATTAGTGAATTAGCAGATAAACATTATTTGGCTAGGTCTTGATGAGAATTGCTTATATGTTCTTTAGCCACCCCCTTATTTTACAAATAAGACAGACTTAGGGAAGTTAGGCAATTTACACAGAAGTTAATAGCAAATAAATGACTTTGTTTTGGACTTTGGAGTGGAGAGATAAGGAATCGGGAAAGTACTTTTTTAATTAAGAAGATGTGATCTAACATTTTTGTAAATTTCTGTTTCCCCAAAAAAAGGATGAATTACTAACTTACTGTTCAGGATAGAGCTTGCAAACCATAAAAGATTATTCATTTTATTCTTTTTGTTACCTCACAGTATCTTCCAGGGCCATAGAGATAAACCACTATTACTAAAATGCTCTTACATGTTTTTGTAGGGGTTGGCAAGAAGACTCAGGGTACCAAGTGTACTCAGGATACTAGTGAATCCACAATGTGGAGGATTAAATTGAACCACTTTTTTCCATCATACTCTACTAAGATGGAATCAGAAAAAGAAGTCCTGTGGTGGGGTGGGAGAAATTTATGAAGAGGGTCAAAAGGTATACTCTTTCAGTTATAAAATAAATAAGTCATAGGGATGTAATATACAGCATGGTGACTATAGTTGAATTATACTGTATTGCATATTTGGAAGTTGCTAAGACAGGAAGTCTTTTTTTTTTAATTTATTTAATTTATTTATTTTTGGCTGTGTTGGGTCTTTGTTGCTGCACACACTTCATTGCGGCTACTCTTCATTGCGGTGCACGGGCTTCTCGTTGTGGTGGCTTCTCTTGTCATGGAGCACGGGCTCTAAGCACGCGGGCTTCAGTAGTTGTGGCACGTAGGCTCAGTAGTTCTGGCTCGCGGGCTCTAGAGCGCAGGCTCAGTAGTTGTGGCACATGGGCTTAGTTGCTCTGCGGCATGTGGGATCTTCCCAGACCACGGCTCAAATCTGTGTCCCCTGTATTAGCAGGCAGGTTCTTAACCACTACGCCACCAAGGAAGCCCCGACAGGAAGTCTTAAAAGTTTTCATCACACACACAAAAAATTTTGTAACTATGTAAGGTGATAGATGTTAACTAGATGTACTGTGGTGATCATTTTGCAATGTATACAAATATCAAATCATTATGTTACATACCTGAAACTATTGGGTTGGCCAAAAAGTTCCTTAGGTTTTTAAGTAAAAATAAAAGACACGTTTTTCATTTTCACCAAGAACTTTATTGAACAAGGTATTCACTGTTTTGTTCCACTACCTTCTGCCATTTTTCAAGCAGCTTCATAATTCCATCTTCCCAAAACTTTTTATCTTTTTGAGCAAAGAACTGTTCCAGGTGCCCTTTACAGTCTTCCAGGGAATTTAAATTTTTTCCATTAAGAGAATTTTGTAAAGACGGAAATAAATGGAAATCCTGGAAATGTATGGTGAATATGGCGGATGAATCGGAACTTCCCAGCCAAGCTATAACAGTTTTTCCTGGTCATCAAGGAAATGTGCAGTCTTGTGTTATCTTGATGGAAGATTGTTTTCTGTTGACTAATTCCGGACACTTTTTGTCAAGTGCTGCTTTCACTTGGTCTAATTGGGAGCAGTACTTGTTGGAATTAATCGTTTGGTTTTCCAGAAGGAGCTCATAGTAGAGGACTCCCTTCCAATCCCACCATATACACAACATCACCTTCTTTGGATGAAGACTGGCCTTTGGTGTGGTTGGTGGTGGTTCATTTCACTTGCCCCATGATCTCTTCCATTCCACACTATTGTACAGTATCCACTTTTCATCACCCATCACAATTTGTTTCAAATACAGAACGTTTTTGATATGTTTCAGTAGAGAATCGCATGTGGAAATACGGTCAAGAAGGTTTTTTTCGCTTAACTTACGTGGAACCCAAATACCAAAGCAATTAACATTACCAAGGTGGTACAAATGATTTTCAACACTTGATTTGGATATTTTGAGTATGTCGGCTGTTTCCAGTGTGCTATAACATTGACTGTTCTCAGTTAATGTCTCGATTTGATTGCAATCCACTTCAACTGGTCTACCCAATGGTGGAGCATCGTCCAGCAGGAAATCTCTAGCATGAAACTTTGCGAACCATTTTTGACACGTTCTATCAGTCCACAGCACCTTCTCCATACACTGCACAAATCTTGTTTTTTGCATTTTAATTGTTTTTACCTTTCTTGAAATAATAAAGCATAATATGCTGAAAATGTTGCTTTTTCTTTCTTTTTCAATATTAAAATGGCCACACAGCAATTCTCCAATTTTGATTTTTTTTTTAAATGAACACTGAAGTTAAAGACAACTAAGCACTACTAGAGCCACCTTATGGAAAAAAACGAATGAACTTTTTGACCAACCTAATGATATAATGTTATATCTAAATTATACCTTAATTAGAAATTGGGTGGCGGGGGGAAAGGGAGGAAGGGGAAAGGAAAGACAAGACAAGAAAATCTTCTTTGCAGCCTTATCTGTAACAACAAAAGAAGTGATGTTTCTGCCAATGGGGGTCCAGATAGATTGCAGGTCCTTAACCCAATGGAATACTGTGCAGCTGTAGCTTTATGTGACCTAACTTGGAAAGTGTAAAAAGTAAGTTTCACTGCAAAATGTATCATTCTGTTTTTTAAAAATGATAGTGTGTTTATGTTTATGCTTTAAAAGCATTGAAAACCTTCTAGAAGGATGAAGCAGTAAACCCTTGGCAGTGGTTGCTCCTGGAGGTAGGATTGAGTGGGGAGAAAGATGTTCCCTGTGATTAAAAAACAAAGGAAAGGAGGAAATAAAAAGTAAAATTTTTTTAAAAGATAAGAAAGAAAAAAGTCCTTATAGATGCCTAAAATGTATACAGATATACACGCCTTGCTTAAGTGCGAATCTGAGTGGCCAAAGACTAGGATTTTGAATTAGAACCAGGTACTCTACTCTACCCATTTAAAAAATCAACTAAATTGAATGTTTTTAGATAATAGATAATGATACTTTATCATTTGAGATATATCAAGTACACAACAGGTAGTTGTTTTAGTAAGAATTTAACATGTAATATAATATTTTTTTGGTTGTGGTTTTTGTTTGTTGGTGTGTGTATTTGTTATTATGTGTTTTGTTGTTATTAGTGTTTGCCTTATGTTTTGTGTTTGTTTTTAGGTTTTGAACTTCCAGTTTTATTTTGCTTGCAGGAATTAATTATATTTTTGTTTCCATTAATACAGACGGTATCCAACTGTTGAAAAAAGAGCCAAAGTCTTCAATGGAGCAAGTTATGTGCCTGTTCCTGAAGATAGTCCCTTCCTTAAAGCACTGCTTTTCGAACTGAGATTATTGCATGATGATAAGGACTTTTTGGAGAGTCGTGATAGCTGTTCACACATCAATAAAACATCCATTTATGCACTCCCGATAGGAGGTGAAGAACTCTGGCCAGTTGTTGCTTTCATGAAGAATGGCATGATATACGCTTGTGTTCCACTGGTTGAACAAACTGTATCCCCTCGTCCACCATTAATTAGCATTAGTGGAATTTCACAAGGCTTTGAACTTCTTTTTGGGGTACAGGGTTTTCTTTATGCAGGTCAAAAAAATGATAGTGAGCTAAATACAAAATTGAGCCAGTTGCCCGACTTGCTTCTACAGGCTTGTCCCTTTGGCACTTTGTTAGATGCCAACTTACAGAATTCATTGGATAGTATTAATTTTACTTCTGTTACTCATCCACACAAACAGCCGACCTGGAAAGCTGGAACATACAAAGGAAAACCACAGGTTTCTATTTCTATCACTGAAAAGGTAAAATCCATGCAATATGATAAACAGGATATAGCAGATACATGGCAAGTCATTGGAGCTGTCACTTGCAAGGTGAGATTTTCTCTGGTACTTGTTTTATCATAGCACTTAACATTTATGGAGAAAAGTAAAATTTGCCGACTTTATTTTACATCATAATGTGACATTCTTGATTCTTTTAAACAGCAGTCATTAAATGTTATGTTCACATGAAATTTTATAATGTTATCTTTTTGCATTTCTTACTAATTATACTGGCTATATGCATTTGACCCTTGAACAATACAGATTTGAACTGCGTGGGTCTACTTATACGTGGCTTTTTCCCACTAAATACATACTGCATTCAGTACTATAGTATCTGCAGTTGGCTGAATCTACAGTTGGCTGAATCCACAGATGCAGAACCTTGGACACGGAGGCTGACTGTAAAGTTGTACTGAACAGAGGGTCAGTGCCCCTAACCCTCGCATTGTTCAAGGGTCAGCTGCATTGCTGTGTAATGAATTGACCTGTTACCACAACCAATAAACATTTATTATACTCGTAGTTTCTGTAGGTCAGGACTTCAAGAGCAACTTAGCTGGGAACTTCTAGTGTGGAAGTCTGTCACAGTCAAGAGTTCAGCTGGGGCTATAGTCACCTGAAGGTATGACTGGAGCTGGAGGTTCTACTTGCAAGGTGACTCAGTCACATGGCTGGCAAGTTGGTGCTGATTATTGGTAGGAGACCTCAGTTCCTTTCCATGTGGACTTCTCAACAGGCTGCTTAAGAATGTTCTCACAACTTGGTGACTGCCTTCCCTTTGATCAAATGATCATACAGACAGACAGCCACATGAGGCACAAGTGAAAGCTATTCTTTTTATTACCTAGGCTGAAAGGTCACATAGTATCACTTCTGCCACTTTCTGTTCATCAGAAGCAGGTCACTTTGTCTGGTCCACGTTCAAGGGGAGTGGGATTAGGCTCCATCTTTTGAAAAGAGTAGTGTCAAAGAATTTGTGAAAATATTTTAAAGTCACCATACCTACTTTCCATTTTTCCTAGAGGGGGTGAAATTGACAAATCTCTGACTTAATATCTGAAGCCATTTTCAAGGGCTCACGTTTTATTTACACAAGTCACTAGGTTAATATAGGGTTCTGTAGTTTAAGGTTGGGTAATAGGAAAAGGCAATGCAAATAACAATACAGTTAGCAGTGATCAGTGCCACATTCAATAATGATCAAAAATAGAGCCCCTCCAAGAGAATGTCTACAAGTACATATTAATATTCTCAGGTGTCTGTTTTTCTGTTATCTTCCTTTATTCTCTGCACTTATTAATATAAACTTTTTATATATCATATTAATGTTGAGTAGTTAAGTGCAAATCCAATAGATAAAAGTAGATTTCAAGAACACAGAATTAGAAGAGTCCTGGCAGACAAATTGGGTCTTTTTTTTCCTTTTTAACCTTAAAGTGACCTAAAAATTTATGTGTCTGTTTTAAACTCACTTGTATTATGATCAAAAATACATTCCAGGGCTTCCTTGGTGGCGCAGTGGTTGAGAGTCCACCTGCCGATGCAGGGGACATGGGTTTGTGCCCCGGTCCAGGAAGATCCCACATGCCACGGAGCGGCTGGGCCCGTGAGCCGTGGCCGCTGAGCCTGCGCGTCCAGAGCCTGTGCTCCGCAACGGGAGAGGCCACAACAGTGAGAGGCCCACGTACCGAAAAAAGAAAAAAATACATTCCAGTTATTAATTTTAATAGAAATAATTATCATAAACGTCTCCAAAATTAAGGTGTTTACAGATTATGTCATTCATACGTCTTAAAGCAGTTGAATCTACGTCTCTTGTAAGTTCTGTAAAATACAAGTAGGAAAATTCACCGTCTCTGTTTTTCATTCTGTAGTAATGAACAGGGAATATGTTATATATAATTTAATACTAATTAATATTATGCTATTTAAATAGCTCATTGATAGGCTGACCCTAGTTTATTGCTTCTGGGAATTTTAGATTGGCTCCTATTCTTGGTCTAATACAAATGATCATTATGGGAAACTTTCATCTTTAAAAAACTTTTTTCTAAATATAAAAATAGTGAGGGTGTACTGAAACTCATGAACTAAACGTTTCTTTAGGGTTGTATGTAAATAGTATAACTGTCAGCCAAACCATTTTTAAAGTATTTAAAGGAGTTTTATTATGAAGCCTATTGTAAATGGAAATAATTATCTTCATTTTATCTCAATCCTAGTAGGAAACCTGGTGAACCAAAAGCCAGTGGACTGAAGTTATAGTCCTCATTCCACCACTAGTTTCTCTGTCTCTTTGGAAGAGTTACACAAATTTTTAAATCTTTTCTGTTTTGTTTTTTTTTTTTCGGTACGCGGGCCTCTCACTGTTGTGGCCTCTCCCGTTGCGGGGCACAGGCTCGGGATGCGCAGGCTCAGCGGCCATGGCTCACGGGCCTAGTCGCTCCATGGCATGTGGGATCTTCCCGGGCCGGGGCACGAACCCCTGTCCCCTGCATCAGCAGGCAGACTCTCAACCACTGCGCCACCAAGGAAGCCCTCTTTTCTCATTTTTAAAATTAGATAAGTACCTAGGTCCCTTCTGTTTGTATAATTCCTAATTAAAAGTCCAGATCTACATATGCCAGATTGGTTTAAAGGGTAGTATACAGATTTCTTCTAGAATGGATGTCCCCATCCCGTAGTGAATGGCTAGTGCTCTGGTATTTCAGATGCCTAGACAGCAGATAATTTGTTGGTTATTTCCATAATGGTTACTGTTTCTCTGATTCCTTTAATTATGTTAGAGTGTTAGAGGATGATAAGTATAAACTGAATATTTAAAAATGTTGATACTATTTGCTACTAATATTTGTTCATATATTATCTCCATAAATATCTGCCAAAAAATAAAACTTTAATTCTTGCTATCCACATATAGAGAGTGAAGTAGCAGATGATTTAAAGTTGAAAATACTAAAATGTTCTTAAGTTTCATAGTAGTTATTTGGCATTTTTATTATCAAATGGGATTGACGTTATTCTAACTATCACTGAAAGACCTTTATAAGTCACTAATTATACATGGTGCTGTTCATAATGCCTGCCTGCTCTCTAAATGCTTGCATTATACAGCAGATATATTCATGAATTCACACATATGTCAAGTGGTAGATAAAAATATAAAACATTTCCTATTAAAATTGCGAACCAAAGGTACGGTTCATAATTATAAAAAGATATCCATTCAGCAAACATTATTGGAGTATCTCTAGCTGCGTTGGGTCTTTGTTGCTGCATGTGGGCTTTCTCTTGTTGCAGAGGGCGGGGCCTACTCTTCGTTGCGGTGTGTGGGCTTCTCGTAACGGTGGCTTCTGTTGTTGTGGAGCATGAGCTCTAGGCATGCGGGCTTCAGTAGTTGTGGCATGCGGGCTTCAGTAGTCATGGCTTGTGGGCTTCAGTAGTTGTGTCTCACGAGCTCTAGAGCGCAGGCTCAGTAGTTGTGCCACACGGGCTTTGTTGCTCCACGGCATGTGGGACCTTCCCAGACCAGGGCTCGAACTCATGTCCCTTGCATTGGCAGGCGGATTCTTAACCACTCCGCCACCAGGGAAGTCCCTGGAGTATCTCTTATACTTAGCAATGTACTGGGCACTAGAGATACAAAGAAAAATATAATAATTCTTGCTTTCAAAAACTTAAAGCTTAAAGAAGGAAACAAACAGGAGCACAGACATTTGATCTCACCTCTAGAGAGTGGGCAGTTAATGCATAATGCAGACTATGTATATGATAGTGGAACTAGCTGCTTGCATTTGGAGCTAAGCATTATACCTACTGAGTTCCGCCAACTCTTAAAATATTGTACAAGTCTAGCCAAACAAAACTTATCAGTAAGCCTTATATGCCTCAACTGGACAGTCATAATTGGGTGCTTTAATAGAGGTAAATGTCAAGTTTGAGTTATAAAGGAAGAGCCTGACAGCCCACCGCACCCCCCCCCCCC